ACCTCTGGCTGTCACCTATCACTGAAACAATATACTGCAGCTGTTCTGTCACATCAATGATCCCAGCACTAGGGAGGAAAGCACGCCAACCTGGAGTCATATAAAAGGTCTCAGGAATGCCGGTTTCCAAAGTAAAGGACTCCGTGTCACAATTTCTCTGACACTCATTATCTCTCTCCCCACCGCCCCTTTACAGTCGGGCCACATAGTGCCAGGGACTTGAATCTTGCTCCACTGCGTCTAAGAACCACAGCCCTTGTCAGTAACCTGAAACCCGGTTAGCGAGCAGGACCTCGGGGGATTCCTATACTATCCATAGTCTGTGGGGCTAGTAAAAGAGTTTAAAAAAGTTTAGACACAACTGAGCAGTTCCTCAGATCTCAAGAAGGATCTGCCTGGGGAGTCCAAATTGAAGGGTTGGCTGAGCAACAACTGTTTCAGAGCTTTGGGAAGAAATGTTAAAGGTCCCTTTAGGCAAGATTCCAATCTGGTAAGGAAAGAAGGTAAAAGAGGACCATTTATCATTTAAGTGTATCATGCCATAGTAAGCACACTCTGTGAGGCACAGCTACAGTAACAAAGTTAAGGGCTATTAATGTAACTTGTACTGAGACCACCGAATTGGGAACACAAAAATGTTTTTAAAAATAGCAGTAGGCCACTCAAACCCTCATGCCTGCCCTGCCATTCAACAAGAACATGGCTTATCAGACCTGGGTTCACCTCTTTATTGCAGATCATGACCCTCAACACCCCAATATTTCAAAAATCTATCTACCTCCTCTTCAAATACTTTCAGTGATCTAGCACCCACAACTCTCAGGTACAGAATTCTAATCATTCATTACCCTCCGGGAGAAGAAATTCCTTCAGACCTGTGTTAAAATAGTGTCAACTTATTCTGCAACTATGTCCCTTATTTCAAGGTTCATCCACTGGTACAAACATCTCAATATCTATCCTGTCAGGCCCCTTCTAAAACTTTATATTTCAATAAGATCATCCCTCATCCTTCTAAATTCTAATAAGTTTAGCCATTCTTTATAAATCAACCCCTCCATCTCAGGAATCAGCCTAGTGAATCTCTTTTGAGCTCCCTCCAATGCCAGTACATTCTTCCTTAAATATGGGGATGAAAACTGTACACAATATGCCAGGTACATCCTCATCAACACACTCTAACAAGACACCCCTACTTTAAAACTCCAATCCCCTAGCAATAAAGACTAAAAATCCAATTTGCCGCCTTTATTACTTGCAGCATTTGTATGCTAACTTTGTGTTTCATGCTCAAGGACACCCAGACCGCACTGCACTGCGCTTTTTTTTTGGAGTGTTTTCCAAGTTAATTAAATGTCTGCATTTTGATTCTTCCTAAGTGCATGGCCTCATACTTTCTTGCATTTAAACTCCATTTGCCAAGTTTTTGCCCATTCACTCAACCTATATCCCATTGCAGATTCCTTATGTCCTCATCACAACACTGTCTCCCATATTTGTACGATCAGCCAATTTAGATACAAACAGTCCCCGGATTGCAAACATGCTCCATTCTGGAGTCCATTTGCAAGTCGATTTGTATGTAAATTAGAACACAATGCATAATGATTTAAAGAAGCATCATAAGTACAGGATATGTTCGTATGTTGGAGCTTTAAAATTACACCCCTGTAGCAGACTGTGTTTGTAACATTACACTCTGCCTTGTCCTCCAGGTCATTAATATAGATGGTAAATAGTTGAGGACCAAGGAACAATCCTTGCAATACTCCACAAGTTATATCTTTCCAATCTGAAAAATACTTATTAATCCCGACTCTGTCCTCTGTTTATCAATCCTCAATACATGCTTATACATCGTTCCCAATACTGTGAGCTTCAATCTTGTGCCATAATCATTTTTGTGGTATCAAATGCCTTCTGGAAATACAAACACACACACACTTGATCTATCTGATTCTCCTTTATCAACTCTGTTTGTTACATCTCCAAAGAACTCTAGCAAATTAGTCAAACATAATTTCCCCTTCATTAAACATGTTCAGTTGGTTTGATTACATTAAGCTTTTTTAAATGTCCTATTTCTTCCAGAATAATGGACTTTTAACATTTTCAGACGGCCTCTAGTCTCCTGTTCAGTTTCTCTCCACTCGAGCAGGGATGCCCCATTAGCACTTTTCCCCAATCGTCTGGAACCCTCCCAGAATTCAATGAGCTCTGGAGTAAATTCAAACAATGCCTCCACCAGCTCTACAGGAACGTCCTTTAAAATCTTTGGATGCAGGACATCAGATCTTGGTGATTTATCTACTTTCAGTCCCATTAAGTTTGTAAAATACTTTGTTAGCACAATAGAGATATTACAAGATCTTTCCTCCCATTTGTAATTTAATTGTCTATTATTTTTGGGATATTTATAGTCACCTCCACCCATAAACATCAATGCAAAATACTGATTTAAATTGTCTATCTGCTCCCATTAGTTCCTCAGTTGCATCCTCTAAGGATTCCAAGCTTACTTTTGCTACTCTCTTACATGCCTATGTAAGTTATTGCTGTTTGCTTAAAATTTCTTGCCAATTTACTTGCATAATTAATTTTGTCTTTCCTTTCTCGCATTTTAGTCAGTCACTGCTGGTTCCTAAACAAATTCACTGCCCTCTGGCCAATAATTCCTCTTGTTGCTTTGAATGCCTTAGTTTTTGATTGGATACACTCCTTGACTGTCTTTGTTAACCATGTGTGGTTTACCCCTTCTCATCAGCTCCTTCTTTCTGACCAGAATAAGTTTTGCTGAACGCAATGAAATAATAAATGTCTGCTGCTGCTCATTTACTGACTTTCCCCTTAGCTTATTCTCTCAGCCCACGTTAGACACTTGCTTCATAGCAGTGTAATTGCACTGATTTAAAGTGAAAAAACTGTTTTGAGATCTGAGTTTCTCTTCCTCGAACTGAACTTGAAATTTTATCATTTTGTCATTGCTATCCCCAGAGGTATTGCTGTTTAACAGAATTTGAAGCTTAAAAGCAAAAACACTATGGTGTTACCAAAACCCAAAATTTCAAGCTTAGAAGGAAAGAATATCATGGTGCTAAAATAGTTTTGAACGTATTGCAAAGTTGGGTACAGTACTTGTAGACTGGGAGGCAGGAAATTAGAATCTGGTGTTTGTAATATGCTATGGGGAAAGCATTGCATGGTCCCTTTAAAAGATTATATGCTTTTTCTGTGCTCAGAAATGTAAAATGGATGTCTATAAGCAGTAGCTTGAAAGTTTGCAAGTACACAGAGAGCACCTGAATTGAAACATTTGTATCGAAAGACCATACAATTAGCAGGCCAAGCAGCATGACAATAGGCTTTTGAATTTCGTCAATTTGAACCTGGCACATAGATACCAAAAACCTATTAAAGTTAAGTCTGATGGTTTTGACAACATAGGACCAATCCTATTGTAAGAAGTATTAATATGTCATCAAGGGTATAAAAAGAAGGGAGAATCGCTGCCCCTCCTCCATGTCTTAGAGAAAGCGCCATCTAAATAACAACAGTACCAATGGCACAACTAGTTAATATTCCTGAACAAAGGATCGACGGAGAAGGCATTCTTGATGGATGAATCAACGGAGAAGACACAGAACGTTCTGGAAGACACGTAACCTAGCTGTAATTTCGAGAGACTAAATTCTTTTTTAAAAATATAGGTGGGACTTGTGTTAATTAGAATAGCACACAATTGGAATCTTGATTTATTCGGGAATAGTTAGTAGTTAGGAGGGATTTATTCTGCTTGCTAATAGTTTAGTTAATTTGTTTGCTTGTTAGAGTTAGAGAAATAAATTGTTACTAGTTGATTTTAAAGGAAATGTCAGGGATTTTTCTTTAAACCACTAGAAGCTGTGGAAAGACGGGTTACACCACTTTTCACACTCCTTTTACAGATTATAGGGCGAGATGCTCCTCTTTGGGTGTTTTGGTTTTAGTTCTCCGGGAGAGCGGGGGAGGAAGGGAGGGGGGTGGTGGTGGGTCAACCTTCACTTTATAACAAAAGCAGAAGTTGCTTCCTAGCAAGAGAACTAAAACAGCATTGAGATACCTGAAAAACAATAAATGAAGAGCAAGTCAACAAGTTTAAGTGAAGAGTTTATATCCTTCAACATAGACAAGTCAGGCAGGCTCTCAATGCATCAAAAGTCTTATACTGGAAACAGCTTTGGGAAGAAGAAAAATTGAATGTTCTTGTGCCACGTATCAACCTTAGGTGATTGCACTGCACACTCAACTGTTATGATCTGATCAGTTTGATCATCACGATTGACCATGGTTTTTCATCATACCGTCTATATCTCGATCTTGTTTAAAGAGAGATACTATGAAACTAGATGCTTCCTCCAGAGGGTAGCTAACATTGACATCAAAGCAGAATGAAGTTTTTTTGGGTCCATTGCATAAAAGCTTCAAAAATCCATGATTTATTGACATTATTTTGAAGTAATCCTTGTTCTTAATATTAATAATACTCTGTCTTTAGTTACACTAGTTCCCATGCCCTTCTGATATTTCTCTTGAGTTTGTGAAACACGTGATCCATTCAGCTGCCAGGGGAAGAGATGATGAAATATAATTAACTTGTAAAAATAAATTAGTTGGAAACAAAATTAACATTTTTATAGTAGCTGAGGTAATGGAACTTCCCACGGTGCTTTACATGACCATTATTAAAAAGTACGATGCTGAGGCAAACAAGGAGTAATTAGGTCAGATGACAAAGAGGTAGATTTTAATTAAAGTGAGGTGGAGATGTATGGAGAGCACTCCAGAGTTTGAAGCCTCGGTAATTGAAGGTGTGGCCAACAATTAAAATTGGAAAAGGCACAAGAGGCCAGATTGGAGGAGTTATGGAGCTGAAGATTACAGAAATAGGCCTTGGTGAGTGGGATTGAAAACAAGGAAACAACTTGTAAATAACTTGTTCTATTAGGGTTTCTGAAATATACCTTTGTGTTTATTTTCTGGTTCGTGTTTCATAGCCTCAGCATTACTGGTTGGAGTTACTTGCTGTAAAAGTACATAAAATAGCATGGAATTAGTGAACATACAAAGTTAAAGCATCTATAATTGCATTGCACCAATTATTCTGTGAGTATCTCAAAGATCGCACATCGCATGAAGCAATTCTTGCTGACTCTGTAAATATTGTTTTAGAATTGATCAAATAGAATTATTTTGATTTTATTTACTTACTGATTTTATTTATTTACCTCCTCTGGTACCATGCAAGGACAACATTTAATCAATTTCTAATCATGTCATGTCAGCAACTGAACATATCTGACTCTGCCTGCTTATAGAGTGATGGAGAACTTCCGCTAATAAAGACAGACTTGCCTAGAGATAGTGGTTCTCCTGTTGAATGGACATCACAAAGCATTACAGGCAGTCAAGTACTTCTGAAGTGCAATCAATGTTGTAATGGGAGAAATGGGACAGCCACTTTATGCACGGCAAACTGCCGTGAACAGCAATGACCAGCAAATTCCATTTTTTCTCCTGAGATTGTGATCAAATGATAAATACTGGTCAGGTTGCCTGGGACAACTCTCTTCTTTTCAAAACCGTGACTTGGGATCTCATACATCCATAGGAACAGGGTGATTAAATCAAGACTGCAATCTCTAATCCAAAAGATGACACCTCTGACAATGTCACGGTGTCAGCACTGTCTGTGTAGATTTTTGTGCTCAAACCCTGAAGCGAGAACCCCAAGATTCAAAGTGTTACCAGCAATCAACAGTAATCAAGACACTTGGAGCTGCACAGGACTTGTTAATAACAACAACAGAGTAAATCGAAGCAAGAATAGACCATTTGTTCCCTACTCCCCATCCAATACAATCATGGCTGATTCTCCACTTTGTTGCAACTCCACATATCCCACTTGTCAAACAAGCAGCACTTGTTTGAAATATAGCCTTAAATCTATCCTAACGAAGAGCCTTCAGACTCAAACATTAATTCTTGTTTCTCTCAACAGATACTGCCAGAGTCTCTCCAGCATTTTCTGTTTATATTTCAGACTTCCAGAATCCACAGCATTTTACTTTTATTAACCTTAAACCTTGGTCACCTTGATGGGTGCGTTGAAGCATTTTCCCTACTATCAGCCTAATCCAACCCATCACCATGCAGTTCTCCACAAACAGGATATTGCCAAAAAGGTGAAAGCTATTGAACACAGACAACAGATAGAAAATGTTTGTGGTCCCATTAATATTTTTTCTTTCCTCTTGTGAGTTCTCGCATAACAGAGAAAGAGGTTAGTGACAGCACAGGAGTTTGGCAATCTCCAGTGAGATTAGTCACAAGAAGTCCCCAGACAGACCTCCCAGCTGTATTTCCATTCCTCCACTTATTTGGCACATGACATATAAGCACCATACATAATGAGGCAGTCACACAAACTGTACATCCCAGTATGACAACGACACTGGCAACTAAGAGAAGGAAATATTTACTTCCTTACAATTTTTAGGCTCCCAGAACATCAAGTTTCACACATTACTTAAGAAATGTAACAACTGTTACAGCACAAGTAAACAAGGCAGCAAATTTGGAAGCAATCAGCCAGGTGACATATCAATTTGCATTTGTACAGAGTGTCTTCTACATTGTAAAGCATCCCAAAGTGATTCACTGGGGCAATATTTTCAAACAGCTAACTAGATAATTGGACATGTAATCAGAAGCTTAGTGTGAATGCCAAATTTTATGGAGGAGAGGTGGTGAGGTTAGGTAGATAAATTTCACAACTTAGGCTGCAGACTCAAAGGCACTGCCATGAATATTGAGCTGAAGGGCTCATTGTCCGTCTGAGGGATACTTAGACTGAATGAGAGGCGCCAAATGACGACATCTGGGAATTCAGTTCAAGTGGCCATGGTCCACATTGACACCAATAAAATGGTTAGAACCTAGAAAGAGCTGCACTGCGAGTATGAAAAGTTAAGAGCTAACTGAAAAGAGGAGAATCTCAAAAGCTAGTTATCTCTCAATTAATACTTGAGCCACATGCTCATTGACACAGGGTGAATAGGTTTAGAGAGATGAATGTTTGACTCCAAGACTGGTTGGGAGAAATATGCTCTGCTTCATAGGGCATTGGCCTCAGTAATGGGGAAACTTGGATATCAAGGAACTGAATGTTGGTCCTTGGTGTGAATTTTTCTAAGTAGGGACTGTCTATACCCAAAACGTCCTGGAGTAGGGTTCTTGTGAGCTGCATAACTAGGGAACTAGAGAGGGCTTTAAACTAAACAAGGGGATGAGGATCAAGATTGGGTAAATGTAGTCAAGGCAGGACAGAAAATATTAAGATCTAAAATGAAGGTTCCATCTGGCAGCAAGGAACAGAGAAAGAAAAAAAAGCTAAGAATATACCAGCAATCTGGATTAGATGCTTAAAGAGATAATTTAAGAAAAACAAAAGCTCTTAACTAAACTTGCTTGTGTTCAGGACCAAGTAAATGAATTGATAGCACGCAATGAAGTGACGTAGTGAGATTTGGCTACAGGATGAGGAAAACTAGGTTCTGGAAATTGAGAAGCACATCATATTCAAGTAGAATATCTGTATGTGGCCTTGGATCAGGAGGTAAAATCAGTTTGGATGGAAATGAGTAATAGTTGGAAGAGTTGTCACACAGGGAGTGACCTCCCGGCCTCAGACAGTAACCACAATGTAGGGCAATGTATACAAGAAAATATATTCCGTGCTCATGGTGAAGAGATGGCAATAAATCAGGGTAATTTTCACACACCTATAAACTGGAAAAATCAGATTTGCAATGGTAGCCTGGATGAGGATTTTATGGAATGCTTCCAAGATAGTTTTTTGGAGCAGCACATTCTAGAAGCAGACGGACTGATTTAGACTTCATGAGACTTGACATTTTGCAATGTGACAGAATTAATAAATGACGTCAGAGCAAAGGTATCCCTATGAAGCAGCAAACATAACACAATTGAATCTTACATCCAATTTGAAAGGGAGAAGATTGGATGTAAAACAGGTATTTAAAACCCGAATAAAATGCAAATGTGGACATGAAAGCTGAGCTAGTTGAGGTGAACTGGGATACTACATGGAGATACATCCATACAGAAGTAGTGGCAGACATTTAAAGGGATATTACAGAATACTTGAATAATGACAATCTTACTGGAAAGAAAAATTTCAAGGGGAGGGCCAATGATCCATGGTTAACTAAAGTAGTTAAGGAGATCATTAAACTTGAGAAAAAACACAATTACACAAAGATAAATGTTGAAATACAAAGAATGGCAGAGTATGTCTAAAAATCAATGAATGAATCAGGTCAAATAAATTAGAGCTTGAGGGGAAAAGAGCTAGAATTCAAGAATAGATTGCAACAGTAATGTAGAGAAATTGAATGTCGGTCCTCGAGACGATGTGGCTAATGAAGTAGTAGATGCATTGGTGTTAATTTTCGAAAATACTTTTAGATCAGTAAAGGTTCCGTCAGCCCAGAATGACAGCAAATCTATTCAAAAAGGGTGGAAGGCAGCAAATAAACTATAGCCTAGCCTGACATCAATCACGGAGAAAGTTTTCGAATTAATCAATCAAGGAGGCTGTAACTGTTACTCAGAATAACTCAAGGCAATCAAAAAGAGACTGCATAGTTTTGTCAAGGAGAAATCAAATTTGAAGGAATGTGGATCAAAAGGGAGCCTGTTGATGTACTGTACTTGAATCTTTAGAAGGCGATTAATGAGGTACTACATCAAAGAAAATTGCAAAGTAGGAGCTCATGATCTAGGATTAATACACCAGCTTTAATAGAGCATTGCTGGCTGGCAGAAAACAGAATATGCACAAACGGGTCCATTTCCGATTGCAAGAACATGACAAGTGCCTAACACAGCGGTGTCGGGTATGCTAACATTTTCGAAAAAAGCCAATTACTTTGATGAGGCAAATAAGACATGATGACGACGACATTTGCAAATGACCCAAGTTTAGTTGGGAAAGGACATTGTGAAGATCATGTGACAAGGATGCAGATGGCTACGGATAGGTCAAATGAGAAGGCAGAAATCTGGCATGTAGAGTATAATGCGGGAAAATGTGAAGTTGCTCGCTCAGCAGGAAGACCAAAAAAGCCAAAGTATTATTAAAATGGAGAATGACACGGAAGTGCAAAGTGCAGTGCGATTTTAGGCTTCTCGTACACGGTCACAAATGTTAGTATGCAGATACAGCAAGTATTTAGGGTGGCTACTGAGATGCTGTCTATTAGTGTAAGAGGAAATTAACATAAAAGCAGGCATATAATGCTTTAGTTATATAGGAAATGGTTTAACGCTGCTGTTTTCGATTTAAGGAAGAATGCATTGCAGGTGGTTTACTACATCGATATATAAGCAGAAAATGCTGTAAGAGCTCTAAGTCTTGCAGCATCTGTGCAGAGAGAAACAGAGTTCACATTTTGAGTCAAATTTGCCTCTCCAGAACATTCATTTTTTCTCTCTCCACAGATGCAACCAGACCTGTTGAGTTTTTCCACCACATATTGTTTTTATTTCAGATCTTAGTATTTTGCTTTTACTTGAGTAAACTGATACCTGGAATGAAAAGGCTGCTTTAGGAGTATGGGCTGGACAGGCTGGGCCTGTTTTCACTTGAATTCTGAAGAGTGAGAGGTAACATGACTGGAATTTATACAATCCTAAATTGTCCTGACATACATCATTGAGGCACAGTGTCTTAAAAGGGAGTGGAGACATTGATATTTTAACAGTTGAGATGGACAGTTTCCTGTTCAGGAAGGGTATCAAAGGTTATCGGGGTTAAATGGCCTACTTTGGCTCACAATTCACACATTTGTAAAAGGCAAGCCAAGATTTTCAATGCACAGTTTTCATAATATAGTTGGGATAGAAATTCGGTTAATCTGTGCTGTATTGTTGAATAACAAATAAATGTTGGTTACAACTCTGGGAGTATTTAATGCCTTGTGTCAATTCTTACCGGAAGGTCAAAACAGACATTGGGACCTCTTATCTGAAGGGCACTTCTGATCATTTAGTACTCCTCTACCAGCCAAACTACAAACTCAAACCCTGGAATAAAGCTCAAATGTACAATCCAGCGGGAGGAGAGTGCACCATCAAACCAAGCTGACATGCATTTAGGCCACTGTGATATCATCTTGCTAAATCTAATGACAATCTCATTACCAGGAGTTTAATTAGTTAACAGATCAATGCAATCAGAATTCAAATTATTTTCCAAAAAATATTAACTTTAGTATTGATGAAGTTCAGTAGTTGTATGTCTAAGCATTTCTCATTTAAAGCAAAACTTGATACTTCATGTCACACAAATCAACTGTTGTGGACAATACCTCTTCAGTAATACACAGCCTACCTTCTCTGACTTTTTATCCTCCAAGTCAGAATTGGATAACCTTGATTTTAATTTTACAGATCCTTCTTTAAATATGTCTCCAAACCCCACACCACGGATTTTCTTTGGTTGGGCAGTTGTTCCAGTTCCTGGACTCTCATTCCCTGTGAATTCTGTCGGCGATGTTGGTGATGTAGGTCCCAGTCCAATTAAATCCTTGACCGGCACATCTGTTAGAGCAAAACAATGTGCTTCAATGTGGAAAATAATTATTTTTACTCATATAACCCATCCATCTTTAAAACAGCATAAACAAATTAATTGTCAGCTAACCAATTCAGAATAGGTCTAGAAGGATTAGATTTACATTTATACACAAATCTATTTTAAGAGGCTCTTCAACCTCAGACACCATTCACACAACAGGATTAAGCAGAGATGATACGTGCAAATATTGGCATCTCTCAAACTCTTTGCAAAACCTTTCTTTCTTTGCCTATGTGACTTTTAACATCGGCACCACACAATACAAGCTGTACGTCAAAACCAGGCCAACAATGCATCTTGACCACAATCAGTCACAATACAATGCAAAACTGGAACAACCTTGAACAAGAGATTGGCGCAATTAAAACGGGTGAGCACAAACTGGCCCATGAAGGACTTTGCAGTGTGAAAAAAACAAAAGGTAACCTTGCAAGCTCGGTTGTGAACATTGCAGTGAAAATAACAGAGTGATGATTACAGGAAAATAAGTAGATGTCAAGACTAGTTATTTGGGCTAGTCTTTCAAACACTTAAGTTCCAGGATAGTGATTCTTCAAAAGATGAGGATCACTCCACCTGTACTTCTTACATTTGCACCCAAACCAACATTCTCTTGCTATCTAAGGAAGTAATAAGAAATTTATCAACTCTGGAAAGAATGGTTCGGATTATCTGTTGATCACACAGTCATTATTCCAATGGAGTTGGGAGTTGTGCATCATAACAGATTCAGAAGTGCTTGCAATGAAGTTAAGTGAGAGAGCTACTCAAGGAAAAGTTAGACAATTAACTACACAGTACAACACCTGAGCAACCTTTCTTTGATGGGGCAACCACTTGCTAGGCTAGCATTTACTGCTGACCTCTAATTGCCCAGAGGGCAGTTAATAGTCAACCACATTGCAGTGGGTCTGGAGTCACAGGCCAGATAAGGATGGCACCTTTCCTTTCATGAGGTACTCGAGTGAACCAGAAATGGTTTCACGTTCACCATTAGACTCTAAATTTATGGAATTCAAATACCACCATCTGCATAGGTGGAATTCAAACCCAGGTCCCCAGCACATTACCTTGCACTCTAGCTTCATAAGTCCAGCAATAATATGACGAGGCCATTGCTTCCCCGTTTAATACACTCTATACTTAATTCACACCACCCAACCCCATCCCGCTTACATCCCCCAGATCCGAATGTGACCAGACTTCCCCCACCTAACAAGGCCCCATCCACACCACAACCAAACTCCACCCGCCAGAGCCATCCGAACCATTGAACTGGCACCAGCGCAACCTCCACTGCAATGCCAGAACCCTCCAGACATGTTTTCTACCATCTACCCTGACCTCTCCTAAACACTGGATCACTTACCTGACTTCGTTGCCATTTTGCACTCTAGCCCCTATCCATCTGACACCTTTCCCCTGGAACCCTGACCCCCAACTTAACATTTGACAACTGCTGTCAAAGGCTAAATGCAAAATGGTGGACAGGTCCTTCACATGTCAGAATACAGCAGCTGACTGCAGTGAAAAGGGGACATGGTTTGCCTTCTTCTGACAGTTGTGTTGGACTCCACAAGTCTTAAAAAGCCCTGAGCAGAACGTACCCAGTTCTGAGAGGATAAACCCAGATAAAGAAATTAATAAATTATTTACTGCCAGCCAATCACTTTACAGCATCTTTATTTAATATGGACAGTTTTATAGTCAACAATCAGCCAGTTAGCACTCCTCATCTTGATTAAAATTAAGAAGCAATGACATATCTGCCAGCGTCCTTGGGGTCAAAGGAATCCAAGAATGATTGTGGCTCAGATTTTCTGATGGGTATATAGCCATTGAAGCAGCATTGATTGGAGTTGCCTGACAGAACCTTGTCCTGTGGAGCATTGGAGGCTGAGGGATGACATTATGGAGGTTTATAAAATCATGAGGGGCATGGATACGGTAAATAGTCAAGGTCTTTTCCCCTGGGTCGGGGTGTCCAAGATAAGACAGGACATAGGTTTAAGATGAGGGGGGAAAGGGGCCACATTTTCTATGCAGTAGGTGGCGCGCATATGGAATGAGCTGCCAGTCAAAGTGGAGGAGGCCAGTACAACCACAACATTTAAAAGGCATCTGGATGGGTACACGAATAGGAAGGGTTTAGAGGAATATGGGCCAAATGCTGGCAGATGGGACTAGATTAATTTAGGATATCTGGCCGGCATGGATGAGGTGGACCCAACGGGCCGTTTCCACGCTGTACATCTCTGTGACTCTTTAACTCATTCTGTGGTAACTATTTGCCATCTGGAACGCTCTGTCAAAGTCCTCAACTCTGAGCTAAAGGCAGAATTTTCAGAGGATTCTGACTCACTCAAGCTTATACATCAAAAGATGGAAGAATAATTCCTCAAACTTTCTCCTACTCCTGGGTAATTATTAAACTGACCCCACTTGTACCCCACTCTGACAGGACCCCTGACACCATGGACTTAAACCCAGGTGTCCTGCATCTGTTTCCACCAGAAATGAATTCTTTCAACCTTCATGTTTCCCAGGCTATTCAGGGAAATATGGCAGGGTGGGCTGTAGGCTGGGAACATCCACTTGATTTTACCCTACTATTGAAAAGAATAGAAACAGAACAGCCAGAGAACAATGACAGTCGGATTTACCCAAGCAATAGATATGAAAATCCATCCCAACATCTTGAATAGAACAGTTCTTTATGCTGCGTAAGTATTATGATACCTCAGCATTTTAACAAAAAGACTTGAATTTACAGAGTAAATGATTGAGACACAGGAATGCCACCAGATGAGTCACTTAACATACTACAATTTACTCTGCACATATGAAATAGTTTGCTTCACAGTCACCTCCGAGTTGGTTCTCAATAACTATGGTGGTTTGTAAAAAAAAAGTTTGTCGCTACCTGGTTCAGTTGAGATTTCACTGGAGTCTCCATCATCCGTCTGATCAATCAACTCCTTCACAAAATTGGATGGAAACAACCCAATTTTCTCATTCAGGATTCCCCTCCACCAACCTTCCTCAACCTGTAGGAAATTCAACTCATTAAAGTCCAAAAACAGAAGGACAACCAAGTATAAATAACACAAAAGTCTGCACTGTTAACATGATTATTTTGTAACCCAATGAGCTAGTGCATTGTGCCCACTAGATGGCATAATTGACTGCAATTGATATACTGAACCAGATATTTCAATGACATGATACTCGTTGCAGCAACATACAATTGGAATTGCATGTCATGAATTCCATGGGGTCCTGACAAGTTTGACTCCAAGGAAGTTGCCTGGGAAACTGCATTCACCTGCTTCTGGAATCATCGGAAAAAGTCAGAGATTTTAAGAGGTATCTGACTCTCTTAAGCTTTTAGTTATTTAGGAAACGTTAGAGGATTAAAAATCAACTCTAACTTCTGGTTACTACTAAACTGAAACCTGACTGACCACCCAATATCCACCAACTACAATAACCAAAAGCTGGACCCAACACCATCCCTCCAAACTGCCACAGCAGAGCTGACACATTCCTGACCAGACACTGCAAAAAACTGGAGACGACCTGACTACCTCCAAACCGGACCCAAATCTCTCAATCTACCCAGAGTATTTATCCACTAACTGAGCTCCCTACCCCTCACTTAGCTTTCAGGCTTCCCCAGACAGGTGTCTGCTACAGAATACAACATCACAGGAACAGGAATAGGCCATTCAGCCCTGAGGGACTTTACACCATTCAGTGAGATCATGGCTGAACTTTGGCCTAACTGCACACACCTGCCTTTGGCCCACATCCCTTAATACCTTTGCTTAAAAGTTTATCTCAAATTTAAAATTATAAACTGATCCAGTATCCACCGCCATTTCTGAAAGTTTCAAATATCTATCACGTTTTGATGCAGAAGTGCCTCCTAACAGCTTTCCTGTATGGTCTGGCCCTAACATTTGGACGATGCTCCTTAGTTCTAGGATTCCCAGCCAGTGAAAATAGTTTGTCTTTCTCTACCCTGTCTTTTCCTGTTATTATCTGAAGACTTTGATCAGATCACCCCTTAACCTTCTAAATTATAGAGAAAACAGGACTGGTTTACATAATTTCTCCTTAACCCCTGAAGTCCAGGTATCATTCTTGTAAACCTATGTTGTGTACTCCCTCCAAGGCCAATAAATCCTTCCTGAGGTATGGTGCCTAGATCCATTCACTATACTCTAAATGGGCTCTAACCAGGGTTTTGTCTAATTGCAGCATAACTTCCACATCCTTTTACTCCAGTCCTCTAGATGTAAAGGCCAGCATTCCATTAGCTTTCTTGATTATTTTCTGTACATATTTGTAACATTTTAAAGATCATGCACCTGAACGCAATACTCTCTTTGGACATCCACTGTATTTAACTTCATACCATCAAAATATCCAGATCTCTCCTTTTTTGGTCCAAAAATGGATAACCTCACACTGGCTTACATTGAAATCTATCTCCCACTGTTTCCTTATTCGCTTAGTAGATCAATATCCCCTTATAATTTTATGCTATCATCTACACCGTCTACAATGTCTCCTAACTTTCTGTCATAAGCAAATTTGGATAGATGACTTTTTATGCCATTATCCAAGTCGTTAATAAATAATGAGTAATTGAGGCCCGAACACAAATCCTTGTGGGACACCACTGGTCACATCCCACCTTTTTGAGTACCTGGACATTATCACTAATTTCTGGCGAACTCACCAATTTTCCATTTGTGTCAGTAATTTGCTCTCAATTCCATGGGCTTCTACCTTAGTTAACTATCTTTTATGTAGGACTTTATCAAGTGCTTTCTGGAAAATCCATTTCAACATCATCCATAGACATTCCCTTCTCGATTACCTTAATTTCATCAATTGGGTTTCTCAGGCATGACCTACCTGTTACGAATCCATGCTGGCCCATCAGATTAATTGAAAATTTGAGGTATTGAGTTACACAATTTTCCCATGTCAGATGTTAGACTACCTGGTCTGAAATTCCCAGGTTTTCCTCTTTCGCTCTTTAAAAAAAATGGAGTTACATATGAAATTTTCCCATCCAGAAGGATGATTCCTGTATCTAGGGAACTTTGAAAGAAGGCATCGATTGTGTGCTCCCCTACTTCCTTTAACTCCCTCAGATAAAAACTGTCAGGTTACAGCATTGTTACTCTTTAGTTCCATTCATTTCCTCACTATTGCTCATGTTAATTTTGCTCAGTCCCTGATCCACTGTTAACTTCTTTGGGATATCTGGCAAGCTATCCCCCTTTTCTACTGTAAATACTGAGGCACAGTAATCATTTAACATACCTGCCATTCCCCAGTTACTGACAATATCCCCACTTTCAGTCTTTAGCGGGCCAATATTGCACCTGACCACTCTCTCTCCTTTTTTTGTAAATATACAAATTCTTATTGATTTTGATGTCCCAGGCAAGCTTCTTTTCATAATCCTTCTCAGTAGCTCTTATAAGCTGCTTCGTGACCTGTTGCTGGTCTTTGTATCTTTCCCATTCAGCAGGATCTGTATTTTTCTCCCCCCCATTATTGTAAGTCTTTTCTTTTTGTTTTATGCTGTCCCCTATCTCTTTAGTTGTCCATGGCTTTATTTTTTTCTGTGAAGTGAAGCTTTATTCTTTCAGGGGAATAAACTGGTTCTGTATGACAAGACATAAGACCAGGAGAAGACAATTCAGCCCCTCGAGCATGCTCCACCATTCAATAGGATCGTGACTGATCTGACATTCCTCTACACACTTTAATGCCCTTTCCCTGTAACCATTGATTCCCCTACTGATCAAGAATCTAGGGCTGGCCAAGGATAAATGCCCATATCCTTTGAATAAATACAAACTCCTCCTCTAATTACCATGCTGCAGCTTGCATTTACAATACAGAAGTAGCTGTAAGGAGCTAACTGGCTCTTGTCAGTATTTATACTTTGCATGAGCCACATTAGGTATTTAATCATCAGGCTACGTTTCTGCAACTCAATAAGTTAATCAATACCTCAAACTTAAATTGCTTGAAGTGCTTATAAACATCCTCCACTGTTCATCAGTTGTTTTACCAATGAGCAGTCAACAGTCTCTATCGCATCTCATTAAAGTAGGCCTTGCCAGTCTCAAGGGCATTGACTATGAAGAAAGCTTAAAAAGGCTAGGATTTTTTTCACTGGAAAGACGGCGGTTGAGAAGAGACCTGATAGAGGTTTACAAAATTATGAGAGGCATAGAGAGAATGGATAGTCAGAGGCTTTTTCCCAGGGTTGAGGTTTCAATTACAAGGGGGCAGATGTTCAAGGTAAGACGCCAAAAGTTTAAGGGAGATGTGCGAGAAAGTTTTTCACGCAGAGTGTGGTAGGAGCCTGGAATGAACTGCCAGAGGTGGACGAGGAAGCAGGCACGTTAGCGACATTTAAGAGGCTCTGGATGGTTACACGAATAGAGGGGGAATACAGGGATACGGACCAAATAAGGGCAAAAGGTTCAGTCAGGGTATGATGATTGCCACAGGCTTGGAGGGCCAAAGGGCCTGTTCCTATGTTCCTCTTTTGTTCTTTTGTTACCTAAAATCTAAAATTGTAATAGCTGGTTCATGTTTTTCACTTTCAAACACTGCATTAAACTCAACCATGCTATGATCGCAATTTGATAAATGCTCACCTGCAATTTGTTTCCCAATTAAACTTTGACTCATCAGCTACTACTAAATTCAATATCGTTAGTCTCCTTGTTGTATCCAGGACATATTGCTGTGGGAACCTATCCTGGAAACAATCTAGAAATCCACTAGCTTTCTGACAGGTGTTTGTCTACCTCTCCCAATCTATGTTCAAGTTAAAATCCCCTTTTAATACTACACTGCCTTTGCTGCTATGTTACTTAATACTGCAAAAGGTATACACGGCTTCTAAATAATCTTCGCTGCTGCTGGAGAGGATTCCAAGACAGCTTTGGAACAGAAGGCCGCAATCCAGGAAGCTCCTGTGCAGGTATCATCCAAAAAAGAAGTGTAATTTTAAAATCCAGTCAGGGGTGAAAATGACTATAATATCTCGGCCATTTATTGCAACCAGCAAGGTAGATGCAGTATTTGTGGAGTTAACATCTCCGCAAATACTCTTCCTTAGAATCAAAAATAATTACAGACGACAGTTGCAACGTGGACCCACCTATGCCTGAAGCAACATGCTTTCATCCAATCCACAGAGAAACTGCTTTAATTTTCCTACTGGCAATGGCCAATCAGAAACATCCATTACAATAGAAGACAGACACTTAAAAGGTTAGTGTTGTTCTGCATTAAGCAATAGAAACAGAGAATCCATCTTGACTGAGGACAGTTGTAGATCTGCAAGTTGTACAAACACGAAGCGCATATCTACCCAGAAAAATGCACTTTTAATCACAGCTGCTTCGATCGTTCTATCCCTCATACAAACTAATCTCACTCTCTGTCCCCACCCCATGTTGAAATATGTTTCACGTGAAACTTGCTAGTGCTATATCTCCTGATCCCAACTTGTGTGAGTGATTCAAACAAAGCAAATACCTGCAGTACATCCTGCTAATATGTAAAACTAGTACAAATGCTTCCCTAACAGAAATAGAAAAATTATTTGTACAATTATATTATGACTGCTTCACAACTAAAGAGCAATCCAACATGGTAAACTGTTAACAATTTGTTTGGCATTACGAAATTAATCTCTGCTGCAGGAATTCACCACTAGACAATCGTGCACTGTGGCTAGCTGTGGCAATAACTGTTCACTTAGCTTAGTCAAAGCAGTTTGCTGCTTTGTGACAATCTTTACACATCTTAAGAACAGTTAAATAAAAATGTATAAAAATACAAGGACATTGATTCCAATGACCAACTCCTATAAATTGTAAAAAGATGTACCCCGTCTGGGTTTAATTTTATTTATTTTATCCATCTACAAATGAGTTTCAGGCAAATCTACCTATTTCCACATCAAAGCCATTTAACAACATCAAGCTATCTTGCATTGATAGCATTTTGGTCCAGTGACAGAGACAAAGTACGTTCTGTGGATTATGAGATTGTAATCTGTGTTTATACTAAAAACATAAGCATGCTAAAGGTGACAAATCCCATGACTCTTACACGCACTAATTTCCCACTACCATCTCCTCAACAAGTATGTATTCAGGATTGGCACAAGAGATCATGGGTTTGGTTGGGGGGGGGACCAATTAAAGTCGATATGTTGCAGTGAGTGGGCCAATACTGCTGTTTTTTTTGTCCCATAGCCCATGCTGGAAAAATGCTTAGCTACTGGATCCACAACTTGGTATCTACCTAAATCTGCTGGGGTCTAAGCCTCCAAAGAACCAGCTCGAAGCCTTTACATCCAAATGGTTATTAAAATTCTACAGATGACACATGACTGCATTGACCAGTCTCTCAGGTAAAGCTACTTTACTCAGCCTCCAAACTACCTCAATTAAATCAGAAGTAAATGTATTTGTTTCACGTTCCCACTGTACAATCCATCTTGAGGAAGGTCTGATTAAACGTCATTTCAAAAAAAAACTTCAGTCACAGCTCCTGAAAGTTATTGGCAAGGTCAGCATTTTCGCTTGTGCCTAAATGTCCTCGATGAAGAGGTGCCCCATGCATTTTGTTCCACTGCCACTTGAATGGCACAGGGATGGTGAGGGACTGTGATATCGTTCCAAGTCAGGATGGTGAGAGACTTAAGGGGAACTTGCAGGTGGTCATGTTCTCATGTATCTACTGCCCTTTCCCATCTAGGCAGTTCAGATTGCAGGTTTGGGGGGTGTGCTATCAAAAACGCCTTGGTGAATTACTGCACTGCATCTTCTAGATGGTACATGCTGCTTTTGCGCACATCAGCAGAAGAGGAAATAGATGTGAAACCAATCCAACGGGCTGCTTTATCTTGGATGGTGTCAGCCAGTGTTGTTGGAGCTGCATCCATCTATACAAGTGGGGAGTATTCCATCACACTCCTGACTTGAGCCTTGTAGCTGGTGGACAGGCTTTGGGGAATCAGGTGGTGTGTTACTCGCCGCAGCGTTCCTAGCATCAGGGTTGCCATTGTTGAGTTTGCATTTATCATGTCCAGTGCCTAGGTCAATGCTGGGTGGTCATCCAGTTTCACTTGATAATTCTTGACATTGAATGGTGTTGTCATCACCGAATCCCCCACTATCAACATCCTTGGGATTATCATTGACCAAAAACTCAACTGGATTCACCACATTTAATTTTTATTCCTTCACAAGGTGTGGGTATCATTGGCTAGCCAGCATTTCTCGCCCATCCCTAGTTGCTGTTGAGAAGGTGCCATCTGGGAGGGAATTCCAAGATTTTGAGCCAGCGACAATGAAGGAACAGCGATATATTTCCACGTCAGGTTACTAAGTGGCTTGCAGAGGAACTTTCAGGTGCTCATGTTTCATGTATCTGCTGCCCTTGTCTTTCTAGAAGGAAGTGGTTGTGCATTTGCAAGATGCTGTCCGAGGATCTCTGGTGAATTTCTGCCGTGCATCTTGTAGATAGTACACACTATGGCTACTGAGCATCAGTGGTGGATGAAGTAGATGCTTGTGGATGTAGTGTCAATTAAGTGAGTTGCTTTGTCCTGGATTGTGTCAAGCTTCTAGAGAGTGTTGTTGGGGCGGCCCCCATACAGCCAAGTGGAGAGTATTCCATCACAATCTTGACTTGTGCCTTGTTGATGGTGAACAGGCTTTGGAGAGTCAGGAATTACTTATTGCCGTATTCCCAGCCTCTAACCTGGTCTTGTAGCCATTGTATTTATACTGACACAAGGTCGTTGAGGCGGCAGCTAAAGAGAGTTGGGCCTATGTCATCAGGAAGTCAGACAGGGATGTCAAAGAAGTTCCTTGTTTTCAGTGATACTGATAAAGGGATAAACATTTACCTTGAGTCATCAAGGTTTCAAGTGGGGGAAAGGGGGCTGTGGCAAGAGGCAGGAAAAAGAAATGGTAAAAGTTATTTAAATCTAATCCAAATCTATAAAATATAGAACAAGTGTAATGGTTAGAAACACTAGTTTTGTTGTAAGAACTTTGACCATACAACACTTTATTCCACAGCAGAAATCCTTATTTTGAATTCAATATACATTGAAGTATTAAAAAGTTTTCATTCAAGTTGCCATACTTTTGTGGATTAGGCTAGTTGTCCCCAGGACAATTGCAATGTTGCACTAGCCAGTCATAAAAAGACAAATCGCTTCAATCCTTCTCCAAATAAACAAGCAAATGTGTAACTAACTGTGCAAGCAAAGTGGATAAAATATAATTTCCTGTTATTGCACAGCTATATACATCTTTTGCCATTGTACAAGTAATGCAAAAACTAGTGTGTGCTTTTTAAAAAAATATTTTCTTGTCAACCTATTCAGAGTTGTTGTTGCACACCTCTGGAGAAGGTGGAACTTGAACTCAAGTCTCCTGGCCCAGAGGTAGGAATGCTACCATTGCACCACAGGAATTCATGGTGCTTTGTGCTCAATTGAAGCCTTTGCAGAGAAAATACCATCTATTTAACAGACATGAGCTGGCTTACTTAACCACAAAGCACCATGAATTTTGCAACCAGTTTGACAACATTTGTAAGACTGGATTTAAAAATAGTTGCAACTGAATTAACTCAAGAGTGGAGATGATCTTCAAGTAAGAAAAATTTAAACACAAGCTTTTCAATTTCTAAACAAATCTGTGTGCATCAGGTGGCAGACGAACACAACTGCACAACTTTTAGCAAAGGTTTATAAGTCTCCCTTCCATCACCTATTCCATCACAAAACAGTTTTACATCCAAAATTTTCAACCACTGCTACGTAGGGAAGAAAAGATTTCAATTGCCAATAAAATACGTTACCTCTTCAATTATTTCAATGAGATCTCCAGTTTTGATTTCCAATTCATCCTCATTTTGAGGGATATAATCAAACAGTGTTTCGCAATGCCTCTTCTTTGATCTTCCTGTTGGGATTGACATCACAGAAATTGCTTTTAACAGTATGAACTGGAAATGATTTTACAAGAAGCTATGTTGCTCAGATATAACTTTATGAATGACAACTTAAATGTAAAATTCGCAGAAAATTTGGTTTGCAAATTAAGCAGCTTTCCCACCTCACATAACTCTATCCCTCTCTCCACCGCACTAACATGGCCCTCAAGTTTCTGAAATACCACCAAAGTACTTAATTATAATGTAGAGTTCAACACAAATTGCTGCATTTTTCAACTTTAAAAAAAGACACATTCATAAAAAATTTGAAGTCTGTATTTACCAACAGTTAAATTTCCAGATGCCATTTCACCAATGGAAACGAAGTTTTTAAAACCATGACTTACCTTCGCTCAAAGTAGAGCAGTTTGTATTGTCTGCTGAGTAATTCTCAACTTCTACGATATTCCCTTGTCAGAAAAATCCACTGAAACTCCCTTTGTTGAAAACTATTTCTACTTTGAAGGCAACTCCAACTCATAACGCAGCGTAATTTCAAACAAAAGTACTGATCAGGAGTTGCAGGTTTTTGACTCACTGATAATGAAGGAATGATGATAAGGATGAGGACACTGTGTAGCTTGGAGGGAAACTTGCAATTGAGGCATTTCCATGCATTCATAGCCCTTGACCTACTAGGTGGCCGTGGTCACGGGTTCAGAAGGTGCTGTTAAGTAGGGTTGGAGAAATGTTGCAGCCTATCTTGCAGATCCAACACATCCTACACCAATGTGCAAAGCTGAAATGGATGAATGATTAAGGCATTAGAGGGGGAGCTAATCAAGCAGGCCGCTTGGATAGCGTTAGACTGCCATGTTTTTAGAGCTGGACCCAGATAAGTGGAGAATATTTCATCACACTCCTGACAAACCCATATAGGTGATGAGCAGGCTACAGGGATTCAAGAGGTGAGCTATTCACTGCAGAATTCCCAACCCCTTGCCTACTCTAACACCTACAGTATACATATGGCTGGTCCAATTCAGATTTGGCTCAAAGATTATCCCCCATTATATTCACGATGATGGCTAAAGGAATGATAGCACCATTAAATGTCATGTGGAGATGACACCTAGGGTGAGCAACAAATGCTGGCCAGCCAGTAACACCCCATCCCATGATTGCTTAAAAAAAACACTGGCAAAATCAGTTAAAATACCCGAACAGATCACTGGGTAATATATATGTAAATATATATTTATAAAAACATGCAATCTTTTCCTGTGCTGTATAGACAACAGTTAGATAACATTTACTACTGTTACCGTTCGGTTCAGGACCCTACGGTCAGGAAGAGAACTTTCAATTGAGCATTCACACTTCACTACCAGTTGAACATTTGGTGAAACAGAACATAGTAAATAGGAGAAGGATTAGGCCATTCAACCCCTTAGACCTGCTCCACCATTCAATAGGATTATAGCCTATCAGAGCTCAATATCATAATCGTGTCCTCCTCCTCCTCTTCTCTACCAGCCTCCACCACCTCCTCTGGCAGCTCATTCCAGACAGGCACCACCCTCTGCATGAAAACATTGCCCCTTAGGTCCCTTTTAAATCTTTCCCCTCTCACCGAAAACCTATGCCCTCTAGTTTTGGACTCCCCTAACCTGGGGAAAAGACCTTGACTATTCACCCTGTCCATGCCCGTCATGATTATATTAATATCTATAAGGTCACCCCTCAGCCTCCAATGCTCCAAGGAAAATAGCACCAGCCTATTCCAGCCTCTCTGCACAGCTTATACCCTCCAACTCTGGCAACATCCTTGTTAATCTTTTCTGAACCCTTTCAGGTTTAACAACATCCTTCCTACAGCAGGGAGAACAGAATCGTACACAGTGTTCCAAAGGTGGCCTAACAAATGTGCCATTCAGCCTCAACCTGACATCCTAACTCCTATACCCAATACACTGACTAATAAAGGCAAATGTTCCATAGCCTTTTTCACTAACCTGTCCACCTGTGACTCCATCTTCAAGGAACTATGAACCTGCACCATAAGGTCTCTTCGTTTAGCCGCACTTTCCATACACCATTAAGAGTATAAGTCCTGCCCTGATTTGCCTTACCAAAATGCAGTACCTCACATTTATCCAAATTAAACTCCATCTGCAATTCCCCAGTCCATTGGCTCATCTGATTAAGATCCCGCTGTACTCTGAGGTAACCTTCTTCACTGTCCACTACCCCACCAATTTTGGTGTCATCTGCAGTCTTGCTAACCATTCCTACTATATTCACATCAAAATAATTTATATAAATGATGAAAAGCAGTGGACCCAGCACTGATCCTTGCGGGACACCACTGGTCACAGGCCTCCAATCTGAAAACAACCCTCTACCACCACCCTCTGTCTCCTACCTTCAAGCCAATTTTGTACAAAATGGCTACTTCTTGGCTACATTTTGTATCCAAATGGATACATCCAAATGTTCACTCAATTTGCATCTGCCATTAATTGTACTGAGCATTCGAGCCGTGCTCAGGATCCCCAGAGAAGAAAACGTTCCTGTGTCGTATGCCCAGACAAACAGTCTTTGTAATGCACTCCTGGTATTTCACGTTTTAAACTTCATGCCATCTTAAGTTGAATTTTTTTTTTAAAAAAAAAAAGAGCATTTTGATTTCTCTGTTCATTGTGTGGTGTCATTGGCAGAACCAGCATTTATTGCTGAATACTAAATTGCCCTTGAGCAGGTTGGCTGAGCTGCCAACTTGTACCCCTGTAGTATTGTGGTATCAGTTCTTCATAGTACTACTCGGAAAGGTGTTCATTTTAAAACATATGTCTTTTGAAATATTTAGGGAGGTGGGCATCTCTGGACAGGCCATTATTTATTGCGCACCCCCAATTTCCGAGGGCAGTCAAGAGTCAACCACATTGCTGTGGGTCTGGAGTCTCATTAAGGCCAGATAATGTAAACATGGTCGTTTTCCTTCCCTAAAGGATCTTAGTGAACCAGATGGGTTTTTAGGACAATCAATCAATGCTGATTAGATGGTCACCATGTGCCCAGATTTTTATTCCATACCTTAATGGAATTCAGATTTCACTCCATTTTGAGATTCAAAACTGTCCACAGAACATTATAGACTCTCAGCTGCTTACAGCACAGAAGAAGGCCATTCAGCCCATCATGTCCACATTTGTTAACAAAGTTCTGACTACACTAATCCCATTTTCCACTTTTTGGCCCACAGCCCTGGAAGCTATGACAATGCAAGTCAACATCTGAGTACTGCTAAAATGTTATGAGAATTTCTGACTCAACCACTCTGAGTGTGTTCCAGACTTCCATCCACTTTGGATAATTTGATTTGTTATTGTCACATGTACTGAAATACAGTGAAACATATTGTTTTTCGTATTATTCAGGCAGATCATACCATACATAAATACATCCAGGTAACAGAACAAAATGCAGAATACAGTGTTCCAGCTACAGAAAAGGTGCAGAGAGAGATCAACTCGAATATTAGAAAGGTCCATTCAAAAGTTTGATAACAGCAGGGAAAAAGCTGTTCTTGAATCTGTTGGTATGTGTTTTCAAACTGTTGTATCTTCTGCCCAACAGAAGAGGATGGAAGAGAGTATAACCAGAGTGGGAGGAGTTTTTGATTATGTTCGCTGCTTTCCCAAGGCAGTGGGAAGTGCCGATGGAGGGAGTGAAAGGAAGGCTGGTTTTCATTGTGGAATGGGTTGCGTTCACAATTGTCTGTAATTTCTTGTGGTCTTGAGCACAGCAGTTACCATTCCAAGCTGTGATGCATCCGGATAGGATGCTTTCTAATGGTACGTCTATAAAAATTGGCAAGCATCATTGTGAACATGCTGAATCTCCCTAGCTTTCTGAGGAAATAGAGGTATTGGTGTGCTTTTTAACCATAGCATCAGGACAGATTGTTGGTGATCATTACTCCTAGGAACTTGAAACTCTTGACCATCTCCACACCAGCACCATTGATACAGATGGGGGCATGGGGAGGGTGGGGTTGTGGGGGCATTCTCCACTTAGCTTCCTGAAGTCAATGACCAGCTCCTTCGTTTTGCTTATGTTAAAGGACAGATTGTTGTCTTTACACCATGACACTGAGCACTCTATCACAATGAGTCTGCCTCGTCATTGTTTGAGATCCGACCCAATAAAGGTGGTGTTGCCAGCAAGCTTGGAAATGTTTCTCCTGAACATTCTTTGTAGCCTTCTGCTTTTTGTCTTAAATCTATGCCCCTTGGTTCTTCATCCCTGCACAGGAACAGGAGTAAGCCATTTAGCAGCTCGAGCCTGTTCCACCATTCAGTGAGATTATGGCTGATCTGCGGCCTAATTCCACATACCTGCCTTTGGCCTATATGCCTTAGATACATTTTTGTCAAGTAAATGTATTATCTCAGAATCAAAATTAATGAATTTAGAGTTCCGAACCTCTACCATTCCTTGTATGTAGAAGTGCTCCTTAACGTGAATAGTCTGGCCTTAACCTTCAGTCTTTAGACCCCTTCTCCACACCCAACTCCACCATTCACTCCATTCCACACCCCATCCTCTCCATTCCACCCCCCATCCCCTCCATTACCCCCCACCTCCAATCCAGCAGCATCCTGGTAAATCTCCTCTGCATCCTCATCAACATTCCTGGTAGTTCCTCCAAACTTTCAATCAAACATGTCAAATATAACCTTCCCTTAACAAATTCATGCTGACTATTGCTGATAAATCCACGTCTCTACAAGTGCAGATATATTCTGTCCCTCAGACTTCTTTCTTTTGGCTTTCTCACCACCGAGGCGAGACTGAGTAGCTTATAATTACCAGTTCTATCACTTCCTCACTTTCTTTTAGTATCCAATGTTAGCAGTCTTCCAGTCCTCTGGCACCTCACCTATGGCCAGAGAGGATCGTAAAATTACTACCAAGCCTCCTTGATATGTCGTCCATGGTCTCCCTCAACAACCTCGTATACATC